TGGTCCTTGGTGCTCTCTGAGCGGGGTGATTTCCTTGCAGACATTTCGTGACCCAACTAGGGAACGTCATCAGTACTATGGGCAGGGAATGCCTTCCCACGGAATGGAAAAGTGGGAGAAAGTGAGTTTTTGCTGCGCCTGGAATAAGAGGAATAAGACCTAAAGGAGGTTGCCAGCTTCTGCACTACGGAGGAACCAACCTGCGTCTAAAGGAAAGAGCCCTCCTGCCTTGACTGGCATTTGGGGATTAGAACGGGGGGCACGAGGGGTTTGATCTCCCCAGCAGCCTGGTTGGGGAAGGGAGCCAGGGCCAGCGGTCTCAAGGCTGATCCTCCCCGCCAAAGATGGGGTTGACCTGCTGGGTGACGCGGATGAAGGTGGTCCTGCGGCTGAGCTCCTTCAGCTTGGCAGCCCCCACGTAGGTGCAGGTGGAGCGGATGCCGCCCAGGATGTCCCTCAAGGTGTGCTCCACGTCCCCTTTGAAGGGCACCTCCACCACCTTGCCTTCCGATGCCCTGCAGGGGGGAGAGAAAGAGGGAGAGCACGTTGCAGGAAGGGACCTTGGAGGTCTTCTAGTCCAACCCCTTGCTTAGGCAGGAAACTCTACCCCATAGGGGTGATCTGTAACCTGATACTCCTCCCGTAAGAGGTCCGTAAGAAGCGGAGATCCTTCCCAGCTGCAAACCCACCATGGAGGAAGGGGGTATTTTAACGGCACAGCGATCCCACTGATACCTGATCCCACTTGCCAGTTTCCTTACCGATATTCGGCGACTCCTCCGGCGTATTTCTTCATGGACACCTCAGAGCTCATGCCATAAAAAAGCTTGTATTTCTTGCCTTCTTTTTCAATCAAGTCTCCCCCGGATTCGGTGTGTCCAGCCAACATGCCTCCCACCATCACGAAATCTGCACCAGCGCCTGCAGGACAGAAGTCGAATTATACAAGCAAAACCAGCAGCTCTCGATAGATGGTAGGTAGGTAGGTAGGTAGGTAAGTAGATAGATAGATAGATAGATAAATAGATAGATAGATAGATAGATGATAGATATATAGATAGATAGATAGATAGATAGATAGATAGATAGATAGATAGATAGATAGATGATAGATAGATAATAGATAGATAGATAGATAGATAGATAGATAGATAGATGATAGATAGATAATAGATAGATAGATAGATAGATAGATAAATAGATAGATAGATAGATGATAGATAGATAGATAGATAGATAGATAGATAGATAGATAGATAGATGATAGATAGATAATAGATAGATAGATAGATAGATAGATA